TCTAAAACCAACAAACAACAAATTATTATTGAATTCTAAGTACTTAACAACACTTACATTTGACTTACAAATTGTTTATGGACACTTTGATAACGCGGATGCAGGTAGGTAGCGTCTCGCATATATCGCTCTAGCCATAAAATGCCGAAACCACAAGCCTACTGCACCTCTATCTCTATCGGTGGGAGGTAGAAACTGTGTACTTCCTGTCGTCAAACGCTCCAAGAACATGCATACGAGAGGACCACAATCCCCTCTGGCTTTCTGCGTTTGTTGTGGCCCGGTCTCGTCTCTGATAACTGTAACATTTAACTTCTTTGGCTTCTTGTTTCCAGAATAAGTCCAATAATTAATCGCATCCAAGAATTTAGCCAAATTAGAGCTCCATCCCTTAATAATATCTCTCAAATAAGATAATGATATGTAATTTATCATGCTGTCATATACTATTGTCTTCAGGGATGGGAGCTGAAGCTCGACGAGAAGCCAATGAGTACGTTCCAAAACAGGGATAAACACTTGCAATCATAAGTAATAATTCAAATTGCGCACTTATTTATAAACACCTTTAAAATATTTAAAAAATAAATACTAACCTTATTGACCTCCCACCATACATGATAAAGTTTAGCTTGTTCATTAGCCAACACATATGATTCTTATCGTTGATTCTTCAAGTGAACTACGTGAAAAGACGTCGGCATAATTGTATATCGCGTATTTGTTTCCCTCAATTTCTTTACTATTAGAAGACGTGACACCCATGCATCAGTATGCTATTTTACAAAAAAGATATATACTAGTGAATTACATAAATTTAAAAAAAATTAATCAAAATGAAATATAAGAAGAAATATAAGACTTACCCCCCATCGAAATAGCCTTTGTCTTCAACCCCTAATAACACACCCCACCAAGACCGATTAATCAACAAATGCATATCATCGTTGAGTTTGTATATGTCAGCGTAACACCTCTGGCTCCGCTCATGTAGATAAAAATCAACTGTGGTCTTAGCCCAAAAGGTATTATCCAGAATTATTTCTGGTAGCTGTCTCCTCTCCACTTCATCTGTCAGAATGGTACTGGTCGGTAACTCATACGAAAGCCAACAGTCATCCATCATGTTCGACACGTGAGGGGGTTTCTCAATAATTTGACATATTACGCCGTATGAATCGGACTCTTGAATGGTGGGAGGGACCTCTTCAACGATGACAGGGGCCTCTTGAACGGTGGGAGGGGACTCTTGATGGATGATAGGGGCCTCTTGAATGATAGGAGAGACCTCTTGAACGATGACAGGTGAGTCAGTGTTCTTTTTACGGAGTCTTCGCACTATTGGGGTGAACGGAGACGTAATGGCACGTACACGCCGTCTGATGCGTGAACCCCGTCGTCCAAGAAAAACCCGACGTAAAGTATTCACCTTATCGGGCCGCTAAAAATAAATTAATACATAAATCAGTAAATAAATAGACATGATATTAAACAGTGAAAACAAATACAAATATGTTTCAAACTTGCACGGTATTCACCCAAGTCATTATTCTATCATAGTTCACAAAATGCATCAGATAACATTTCGGAAGTAAGCACTTATATACACATTTAAAAGGACATCATATAGGTTTAGTGCATGTTCAAGGACAACATAAAGAGTAGTAGTTTATTCTTGAAACTTAAATTTGCAACACTGTGAAGTTAGTATTTGTCTTTGTCTTTTGGTTGAAGTAATGCAATCCATTCAAGTTTCAATTTGCAGAAGAAGAATAGTTTCTAAAACTTAAAATCGCAACACGAAACTTAAAAATCGCAACGCGAAAATGACTATCGCAACGCAGAAATGACTATCGCAACACGAATTTGACTATCGCAACGGGATAATCGCAATGCGAAATAAAAATCGCAACGCGAAACCAAAATCGCAACGCGAAACTAAATTCCCGTTGCGATTTTCATTTTCGCATTGCGATTTTCACGTTACGATTTTTATTTCGTATTACGATTATCTCGTTGCGATAGTCATTTCCGCGTTGCGATAGTCATTTTCGCATTGCGATTTTTAAGTTTTGTGTTGCGATTTTAAGTTTCAGAAACTATTCTTCTTCTGCAAATTGAAACTTGAATGGATTGCATTACTTCAACCAAAAGACAAAACAAAGACAAATACTAACTTCACAGGGTTATTTTAGAATTGTTTAGCAGTATTGGCAGCAACCAAATGAATTTATTAAGCAATCTAAGTGAAATGGTTAATCTAAGTGAAATTACGAGTAAATAAAGTTAAATATGAAAAATCTTAAACTTACCTCGTTGCGTAGAGTATGAACCTCATTCTACAACGATGCTACCATCTCACGTAGAACCGCTACCTCACCACGTAAAGTAGATACCTCGTCACGCCATGCACCATTGTCATCGCGTAAAGTACCGACCTCCTCACGCAAGGCATTGACCTCATCACGTAACTCCCCTAACTCATCCCGTGGAGGTGGAGAACAGGGAGATAAATGTCGTGGCATCTTTGTCGGTCGCCTATCATGAGGTGATGGTGGAGAAGAGGCTCGATGATGTGACAGAATAGGTGATGGCTCTCGTTGTAGAGGTATATAGTGTGGTCGATCAGGTGATGGCTCTGGGTGAGGTGATGGCTCTTGAAGTGGAGGCTGCTCATCATCCGTGCCATCAAAAAAACGCTTACTAGCTTGCCACCAATCAATTGCAAGCTCAGCCTCCGTGGGTGTCAGCCTCTGTAATGGAGTGTTGGCCTCCTAACAATATAAAACCTCAAACAAAGTTAAACGTGTACTAGTAATAACTTGTTTATATATGGTAGTATTTGTGTTAACTTACATCATTTATTATCGTATACCATAGTAACTCTTCCCAAATCAACAGTCGTCGTTTCCTCTTCCAGGAAATAGCTCTAGGAATATCATTTGAAGTTTTTAATGCATATGTCTGCATGTCGGGAAAAGCCTCAAATATCCAAATCTACAAAAACAATATAATACACAAACATTAGTAATTGTTAAATAATTAATTATAATTTTGGAAACATTATATATAAATTCTTACCTTAAAGGCCCAAATAAAGCCTGACAAAGTGTATTTGGAACCATCGCCACGTAAACTTTTGCGGTCATCAAAGGCAGACGACAACTTATTCAAGGTAGCTTTCCATAGATACGAACCCCACAGAAACAGGTTCCATGCATTTAGGTCGTCTACCAATAATATTAGGTCCTTAGGAATAGGTTGTCTGGCCTCTCTGCCTAAAAAGTCGGTATGCAAAAGTACTAAAAGGCATACTCGGAGAACATCGATGTCATCCATCCGAGTAAAACCATCTTTCTTATTCAATAATCTCGTCAAGTCGTCGACATGTAAATTCGGCTTCTCCATTTACAGCTCAGGAAAAACCCGGGATAACCATGATGGGCGGGCAATATGACTAGTGTATCGACCTACATCATCGTGTCCGAAGCGTAGACCAGTGATTAAGCAAAACTCCTCCCGCCCAAAACACGTATATGCCGGTGGAAAACGAAACCATATCTCTTCATTACCACGTTTTATACTCTCGGGTAGATCGCTAGTCATGGTCTGAAGCCACAAATGGGTCAACATAGCATCTCCACCCGGATGTTGTACTTTCAGCCATGGCCCGAAGCAAGTATCCTCAAACAATTTTCTTTGTACAGGTGAAAGGTTCGACGCAATTGTAGTGACTAGGCTTATTTTATTCCTTAAGGTCAATTGAGCCGAAAAAAAGTTCTACAAAAACAATAAACATACCAAGTTAGATTAAAAACTACACTGTGAAGATATACCAAAAGCAATAGAGAACAATAATAAACATAAAGAGTAGTAGTAGTTTATTCTTCAAACTTAAATTTGCAACACTGTGAATTTCGTATTTGTCTTTTTTTTTTGGTTGAAGTAATGCAATTCATTCAAGTTTCAATTTGCAGAAGAATAATAGTTTCTGAAACTTAAAATCGCAACACGAAAATGAAAATCGCAACACGAAAATGACTATCGCAACGCAAATTTGACTATCGTTGCGATTTTCATTTCGCGTTGTGATCCTCGGTTTCAAATAGTCATTGTCTAAAATTGAAACTTGAATGAATTGCATTACTTCAACCAAAAGACAAAACAAAGACAAATACTAACTTTACAAGGTTAAAGACTAAACAGTTTAGCAGTATTGTCAACAATCGAATGAATTTAATAAGCAATCTAAGTGAAATGGTTAATCTATTATTGAAATTACCAGTAAACTTATCATCAATTTCTATATGAAAAACCTAATAATAATACAAAAATTTCAAAATAAAAATAATTAAAAAAACTAACCCTCGGTGGTTGATTTGGTTGATTTTCCATTTCTGATCGTGAATGATTGTGAGGGTGGCTCTGAGAAATAGAGACGGATTTCGCCGGAGATGGGGACGGATTTCGTCGGAGATGGGGACGGATTTCGTCGGAGATGGGGACGGATGTCGCCGTAGAGAGTGAGAATGAAGATGGGACTGAGTTGTGATTTAGGGTTTTAGGTTAAGAGTTGCGATTACGGGATGTATTAATATTCGTGTTTGGAATTTAAAAATAAAATACACGTTGCGATACTAATGGCGCTTTGAAAATCGCATTGCGATTTTGTATTATCGCAACGCGATAGTCAGAATCGCGTTGCGATTTACATATTCGCATTGCAATTTTCTAAAATTGCAACGCGAATTTGGAAAATCGCAATGCGATAGTTAAAATCGCGTTGCGAATCTGGAAACTGATTTGCGATACTGGAGATCGCATTGCAATTTAGAGATCGCATTGCGATTTTGTTGGTCATTTTGGCAAATCGAAAAAAAGTTGGTCAAAATCGTATATTATAAGGAATTTTCGGTCACTGAGGTTATTTTATCTTTGTAGATACTATCCAAACCCTAAAATCAAACTATATGAAGGCAAATCAAATGTTGGTGCTGGAGTGCACACTAGCCGGCTCTTCCCCTCTCGGCTTTGTTGTCTTACTCTCAGAATTCGGTCTCAGTACAGCTTAAGCTCACACCAATCAAAATGGGGTCAGCTTTTGTTTCTAGCACAAGTTTTCTTGTAAATGTTGTTTTTCGTTTGTTTCAGCTTGATCTTAGCATTTGAAAATTGCTAGCTCTGTGAATGATTCTTGTGATATATTTTTTTGTTTATTTCAGCGAAGTAGTCGTTAAGATCTGGTTTATGTTATTAAATGATTTGTCGGTCAATTTTTTCTCTATGATTCTGGGTTTATTAGTTAGTGAGAAAACTTTGGAGTTTGTGGTGGGTGAAGATGTCTTCAACTACCTGTTTGGGTAATGTGAAATTTGTGGAAGAAGGAATGTAGTGTGAAATGTTAGGTTAGTATTAGTGATTATGGTAGCTGTCGGACAGGATTTTACTAAAAATTTATGGGGAAAATGAATGATTAGCTTTCGTATAATTCGATATCTTTTAGATTTTATATCTGTGATGCGTCATCTTGAAGATTGTGATGTTCCATGGAAATTTCATAATCGTTTTGTTTTAAGAACAAAGAACAGAGAATCAGAAACTAATTCAAAACGTAGTGTCATAGTGTTTGGCTCGGATATCTTTTATATGGATATTACTTAGTTTGCATACCAGTCCGATGAACTGAATAATTGCATTAGTAATTAGGTGTTTCTAAATTATTATTTTCTAATATAACATTTTTTTTCTCTTACATTTTTCTTGAACTATATAATATTAGCAAATTTTATAATGAATGAATATTCTAATCGAACCGAATTCGATTGTTGTTTAATTTTACTTGGTTTATATATTTTACAATATATAAATTAATATTATGTTTCTAAAATATTGAAAAGAAGCTTCAAAATGTTATATAGGAAAATATTTTTTGAAATAATAAACTAATGAATGGAAATTGTTCGGATTTCGGTTGGGTCATTTCTATATGTATGGTGTTTGGTTTTGCTTTGGAAACACCTATAATATAATTAATTGTTTGTTTCCTCTATAAAATTGAACCAATAACTATCCTTGATAAACCTTCTTTTGGTTGTTTATGCTGCATTTTATGGAAATATGCTAAAAAATGGGGGATTTGTGCAGGAAGACTCGTGGAATGGGAGCTGGTCGTAAGCTGAGAACCCACCGTAGGAGGCAGAGGTGGGCCGACAAGGCATACAAGAAGTCAAATCTTGGAAATGAATGGAAGAAACCATTTGCTGGATCATCTCATGCCAAAGGCATAGTTCTTGAGAAAATGTAAGAACTAATTTCTGCACTCTTTATGATGTCAGCAGGTTGTGCTTGAGTTGAATTTGGAACTTTACAATTTCATAACTGGCTTTTACAGCGGCATTGAAGCTAAGCAACCTAACTCTGCTATCCGAAAATGTGCTCGTGTTCAGCTAATCAAGAATGGAAAGAAAATCGCCACATTTGTACCCAATGACGGTTGCTTAAACTATATTGAGGAAAATGTAAGTTATACTGTTATACACTTTTTGAGTCGAACATGAGTGATCTATGTTAATAATTTCTTGGTTTTTTGGTGTTGCCTGGTCTAAACGGCATGCATGGTTTTGATTTGGTGCATGATGAGGTTTTGATTGCCGGATTTGGGTGAAAGGGTCATGCTGTTGGAGATATTCCCGGAGTCCGTTTTAAGGTTGTTAAGGTTTCTGGTGTGTCACTTCTAGCTCTTTTCAAAGAGAAGGAGAAGCCCAGGTCTTAAAATTTACTGATAGTAATAAGAATTTAGCTTTCAGTTTCTTTTCTTTCCTGAAAGCCTAGTGTTTGGGATTTTGTAATGAAGGATTTGTGAACAATGTTTTTTATTGATCCAACTCAAAAACTGCCCTTTTTGTTTCACATTCGAGAGTTTTTCCCCCCACAGTATTGTACCCCTTTGTTTGATGCCTCAAGTAATATATCATTACTTGTTGCATAAGGATGATAATAGGTTGGTTGGTGGAGAATTAGATTTTAATTGATAGTATTTTAAATTCTCACCAATATAGAAATCAAATAATTTTCATATATTTATATATCATATGATACAAACATACATCAATTACATACTTAAACATCAATTTCATACATATAAATATAATTGTATGGAAATAAATTTATTAAAACTATCAATTAAATGATCATAGTTTCATTTTGAATATATTTATGTCAGAAATAAAAATTAAATAAAAACAAATAAGAAGATACTTCAAATATTAAAATTCTATATGAACATAGATATTCAAACTAATAGAACTTGATATTGACTGAGATTAAAATAAACCATTAGGTATCAATTTGAGACCGATACAACCGGTATTTGGTATCGGTAGTTATCAAGTAACAGCCAAAACTACCTGCTTTGACCACGTTGACCATTGCTGAACATGCTCCCCTGCTTGTTGCTTTCTTGTACTTATCCACATAACCTCCTGCATAGCTCAACAACTAAGTAAACAAATGCTATCTACTTCCTTCTTCATCTAAATATTAAAAAAAATGCTTTGATTAAATTTTAAAAGTAGGACAAGATAAATAAAAATTATAACAAATATTGAAAAACTATCCATTGCACATTGTGAGTAATATCACATGTACCAATAATAATACTCATAATGGCCGCTCAATTTAGGTTTACCTCTACATCACCACAACCACAACCGCTGCCGCGGCCACTTTATTCACTCTCAATATTACATCTCTTTTCCACCTCCACTACCAGCTTCTCCTCCATTCCTCAGTTTCCCTTCTTTCTTCACCGTATCCTTAACCACTGTACTATTATCCGCCATTGGAGGACCAGAATGTTTCGTATTAGTGCTTGCCTTTAGAGGTAACGAGAGTCGTTTATTCACAGTTGGGGTCAATCCCCTCTCCGGCACCCCGCTATGACCTGATGGACTTGACAATCGTGATTGCCTGGTTTTCGTGGTATGGTTCAGCACCGTCGCCACATTAGACTTCGGGCTTGCCGGTGCCACATTAGATTTCAGACTTGCCAGGGCCGAGATTCCAAAGCTCTCATCCTCTCTAACCGATGAAAAACCTCCAATGTTACTATGTCGTCTCTGGAGACTATCAAAACTTGATTCCTCGTTCCCTCCGCGACGAGTTCCCATTGTTGGATATATGAACTGCAAAACTACACCGTTAGCACTGACTGGAAATATAAACAGTAATTAAAAAGAACAAATTCGTAAACCGCGTCGTGGCAAAAATCACTGCCTTAGAAACGAATTTGCCCCGATGTGTGTAATCGCTACAGTAGGTGGACCGTCCCCCAAGGTTAACACGATCGCTCCGAATTCTGTACACCCGAAATCGGAGTGGACTGCCGGTGGTATTGCTCTTCTTATCGGAAAGCACAGAAAGAATAATTGCGTAAAACACTTTGAGAGTGAATTGTGAATGTTGAGAGTGAGTTGAGAAGCTGAATATAACCCTCTATTTATATGCTAGAAATAGGGTTAAAATCGTCCATAAAATTTCAGGATTAAATCACTTCTTTTGTAACAGCTGAAACGTCTAGATGAACCTGACTCAAAAATAGTCCAGGTTCATTGCATCATTATTCAGCTGTTATAACTACCGAAATTATATCATGTAACCCATGAAATTAAATCAAATAACTTATGTAAATCCTGATATTAACAGCTTGTCTCCTCTGTACAAAGCTGGAAATTAGTCCAGATACATCTTAATGTTTTTTATTTAATTTAGGAAAAGCTGTTTAATTTCTGATAACTCTCATAAACCAGCTGTTATCATTTGAAATTAAATAGTCCGCAGCAGCCTATAAATATCAGTTGAAATCTTTCACATTTTTCCATTTGTTTCTTTCAAAGAGAAATTCCTCAAGAATTTTCTCTAAAAAGATAGTATCCACGCGGACGTGTCGAAGACACGTATTACCACGACCACGAGCCGAGCCGAGACGAGACGGACGGACGGCAGCGACGGTGCGCGAGAGTCCCCCTTGTTCTCTATCACTCAACAAGGAAGTGGGAAAGCCAAGCCTTAAATACCATTCCCAATAGTGTTTCCAATACTATGTGGGATTGAGCATTACCAACATTCCCCCACTAATGCGAAAGAAATCTTCTGAAACTCGAAAACAAACTTTCCAGAAAAGCAATAGCGAGATTAGTTGCTTAAGCACTAGTGAACGTATATGGAACTAGTACATAGTGATGATGAGCAATCCTTCTCTTAGATAAGTGAAATTAGTCTGGAACTTTCTAAGATCAGGGTAAACTCATAACACACAACTAATCCCTTCATCCACCTGAGTCCTCGATGTGTAAGATATATATATACAAAGTATATATTTGGCCATCTTACCTCAGGATTCTAGTAAGTGTGCTAGAAAAATGGCCCAACATTTTTCATAGAAGGCGGCTAACCCTTCTCACTTACATAGTTTATTTCATCAAGTTTATCTCAACATAAACCACCCTTTGAAAAGGGATATGAAATAATTAATAGCTTTTATAATAGTTCAACCTCACAAAGGGTATGGTGACTTTCTTCAAGTTCATTATAAATGAACCACCCAAACTCTGGGCTAAGAAGTCATTAAGAATAAATATTCAACCTCATTTATCGATAAATTCAATAAGTCCTTCTCACTAAAACCATCCAAATACTTGGATTTGAATTTATTAAGAGTTTAACAAACTCAACCTTTCTGTCGGTAAGTTCATCATTTCCTACCCACTCACTCTAGGTTATGAACTTATTAAGAATATATATTCAGCCAAAATCGGTAAATTCATCAAGTCTTTCTCACTAAGACCACCCAAACCCTGGGCTATGAATTTATTAAGAGCACTTAAGCTCATCCTGGGCATGCACATTATTCGTCATAGGGATAAGCAGTAGGAATGTGCACTATGAGTCTTTCCATGGTTTCGTTTGACCACATGGAACTTAGATAACTAAGTTGGGTATCCACCATGAATTCCTCAACCAATGGGCTTTAGACCCATCCCCCTCGACGAATCTAGGACCAGCTTCTGACTTAACCCTTTGGTAAGTGGATCTGCTAGGTTCCTTTCCGACTTCACATACTCTAAAGAGAGCACTCCATTCTTTATTAAGTGTCTCACTGACTCATGTATTATACGAATGTGTTTTTTCTTACCATTGTAAGCTTGGTTCTTAGCCACACATATCGCAGCTTGTGAATCACACAATAATGAAACTGGAGGAGTCGGTCTTCCCCACAACGGAATATCTGCTAACAAACTTCTAAGCCACTCGGCTTCTTGCCCAGCTAGGTCAAGAGCTATAAACTCTGACTCCATAGTAGAACGAGCAATACAAGTCTGCTTTGATGATTTCCACGAGATTACTGCTACACCCAAAGTAAAAACATACCCTCTCGTAGAGCTTACTTCATCATTATCAGAAACCCAGTTGGCATCACAATATCCTTCCAGTACCGCAGGAAAGCTAACAAACTCAAGTTTCCAATCCAAAGTACCCTTAAGATACTTCAGTAAGCGTTTAAGAGCAATCCAGTGCTCACCACTCGGATTATGAGTATATCTACTCAGTCTACTCACAGCATAAGCAATATCAGGCCGAGTATAGTTCATTAAGAACATTAATCTTCCGATTAACTTAGCATATTCAGTTTGGGAAACTCTACTTCCTTTCTTCTTAACTAGATGTATGCTAGGGTCATAAGGAGTTCGAACAAGAACGACATCAAAACTGTCAAATTTCTTTAGCACTTTCTCTATATAATGTGCTTGACATAAAGAAAATCCCTTATCAGTTTTGGTAACTTTGACTCCTAAGATTACATCTACTTCTCCCAAATCTGTCATCTCAAACTTAGTGGACAAGAAATTTTTAACTTTGTTAATGGACTCAATGTTAGAACTGAAAATCAACATGTCATCAACATAAAGACTTATGATAACACATTCAGTGTCAAACATCTTCGAATACACACAAGCATCCGAACCATTCACAATAAAACCAAAACTAAGAATAGTTTTATGAAATTTCTCATACCACTGTTTAGGAGCATGCTTAAGTCCATAGAGTGACTTTTTGAGTTTACAGACTTTGCCTTCCATATCAGGTGCTTCAAAACCTAGTGGATGCTCCATGTAAATCTCCTCATCTAGATCTCCATTCAAGAAAGCAGTCTTAACATCCATTTGATGTACCTGCAACTTATGAATAGAGGCTAGTGCAAATAATGCACGAACCGTTGAGATTTTTGTAACGGGAGAATATGTATCAAAGTAGTCTAAACCAAACATTTGAGTGAACCCTTTGACGACTAACCTTTCCTTGTACCGCTGAATCGAACCATCTGACCTTAGTTTCTTCCAGAAGACCCATTTGTTGGAGATTGGTTTGAATCTCTTAGGCAAGTCAACTAATTCTCAAGTATGATTAGACATTATCAATTCTAGTTCATCATTAACAGCACTTTTCCAAAAACTAGCATCGATAGATCTTATAGCTTCTTCAAAAGTTTTAGGATCCTCATCTAACAGAAAAATTTGAGCTATAGGATCTGAAATGGAGTCTAAATCATTTATCTCAGAAATAAAGGAAGTAATAAAGTCTGGTCCAAAAGAGGTTTCAACTCTTTGCCTTTTACTTCTTCTAGGCTCGAAATCAATTTGTTCAGAAGACCTAGACGGATTACAAAAGAAGTGGATGGAATATATTCTATTTGTGTATCAATATTCATTCTCGGTTCCTTTAAAGGAAAAGTATTTTCAAAGAAAACAGCATCCCTTGACTCACAAATAGAATAATCTTGTAAAAGCATGAATCTGTATGCAGCACTATTCGTAGCATACCCTATAAACACTGCATCAACAGTTTTAGGT